CCCCCCCAAAAGATAAGTGTACTTAGCATAAAAGTTTTTAATTTTGACATAAGCCAGTTTATCTAGTTTTTCTTTTCTTGTTGTGCTTTTGGTATCATGTCCAAGAAATCATTGCCAAATTCAGTGTCATGGAGCTTTTCCCGTTTCCTTCAAAGAGTTTTATTGTTCTTACATTTAGGTCTATCTATGGTCCACTTTGAGCTGATTTTTTTTTATATGGTATATGTAAGGTAAGGATTCAACTTCATTCTTTTGCATGTGGATATCTGGTTTTCCAGGCATCATTTGTTGAAGAGACTGTCCTTTCTTTTTTTTTTTTTTTTTTTTTTTTTTTGTCCTTTTTGAGACCGGCCGCACCGCGCTCAGCCAGTGAGCGCTGTGAGTGCACCGGTCATCCCTATACAGGATCCGAACCCGCAGTGGGAGCGCTGCTGTGCTCCCAGCGCAGCCCTCTCCCGAGTGCGCCACGGGCTCGGCCCAAGACTGTCCTTTCTTGATGGAATCTTCTTGCAGCACCGTCCTCTCTAAAACATAGTCCTGATTGCTGTGCAGAAATACGGTTGCCCCTGCCACCCTAGCTCATCCACATCACGCTGGGCCACAGCTAGGGGCCTGTGAGTCCACCCCTCACCCTCACAGGTGGGCAGAGGGACAGGGAATGGAATGGCAGGCAAGGACAGGGATTGGGACCTGCTGTGGACTAGGCACTGGGCCTGCTTTCCCTCTTTGGTTCTCAATGTAACCCTGAGAGGTTTTACAACCCCTTTTNCACCCGCCCATCCATCTCCACATTTACGCCCATCCATCCACCCACCCTTCTATCCACACACCTAACCTGCCCACCCATTCTCCCATCTCTTCATCTCCCCCCACCCCATCCATCTATTCATCCATGGGAAAGAACTCCATGGCCAAGTTCATGGAGCTGCAGGACTTGGCCACCTGGATGGAGGTGAGGGGGGCTGGAGAGCAGCTCCTCTCTCGCTTCCAAGGGCGGTTTCCTTTCCCGTTTGCTTCACTGGGAACTCACATGGGTACATAAAGTCACTCAATGCTGGATCTTGCACAGTTGTACTGTGGGACAGGAGCCTGCCTCCTGGCAGGGGGCCTGGGCAGATTCTGCCCCCTCCCAGGGGCCTCGTGAGCAAGGGGATGCCACCCCGGCATCACAAGTGCTGCAGACAAACCCCTCCTGTGCTGGGTACATGGGTTCCCTGAGGTGACTGGAAATCAAAATCCTGCATCCCTGGGGAGGGTTTGTGGTGGTTAACAACAGGGCTCCAGGCTGACAGAGTGGGTTTTGACTCTGGACTTGCATGTTTCTTCATCTGTAAAATGGGCCCGGGAGACTGCTCCAGCCAGGGCTGCTGCAAGAGCTCAGTGGATGGAGTCAGGCTGAGGCAGGGCACAGCTGCTCCTGGCCCGTGATGCGAGCACAGCCTTCCTCGTCGGCAGCATTGAGGAGCAGGGACGCTTCCCGACCCTGCTCACTCCACCCTCACGTGAAGTGTGCCCCCCACATCACCAAGAACCAGCAGACAGCAGGGCACAGGGAGCTAGGCAGCCTCCACGCAACAGTGGAGCTGGGAGACCTGGATGGAGACCACGTTCCTGGAGAGAAGGTGGCTCAGGCACTGTGGGCTCCCCACTCCCCATTCAGCCCAGTGGATGCCCACTGGCTTTTCCTCTCTTGAAGACAGCCTAGGGAGCCATCTGTATACCTCCACCCTTCCTGAGCTCTGTGCCCTAAACTGCGCAAAATAAACCCCAGAATTCATAAATCCCCACAACGGGAGATCCTGTTCTGGCTCAGGGCCCCACTACCAGGGCCTGCTCCCAGAGCAGCATCCTGGGAAGGTGACTGGCTCCCACACAAACCTACCTCCCACCCTGTCTGGGGACATGTGACTCTGGTTCCCTTGCACAGGCTTCTTGTATCACCAACCTCGTGGGACACCCTTTGTGAGTGAGAGAGCTCAGAGCCTGAAAAGTGGGGACACATCCAGGCCACCAGGAAGCTGCCCGTGTGGAGCTGGGGTGTCAGAGTCCCAGGGAGACGGGGACACTTGGGAGACGAGGTTGGGAAAAGAGTGCCCTTGTGGGCTGGAAAAACACCCTGAATAGTAATAGCCACCAGCCTGTGCTCTGCAGGAATCACCAAGGCTGTCAGGGAGAGGGTGGAAGGGGGTGGGGACCAGGCAAGGAATGGCTGGGACTAGACCAAGGATGGGGGAGCTGAGCAAAATGAGGAATCAGTGGCCCTGGGGAAATCAGTGGCCCACAGCAAAGGAGGCACCAAGCCCCAGCTCCCAGACTGCCCATCCTGGGCTAAGACCTCCCAGAACCGATCCCCCTCCCCCTAGCCTGGGCTTGCCCTCAGCACCTTCCCAACCCTATTCTGGGCCCTGAGCACTGTCTACAGAGCACCAGGATCAATTGTCTACTCTGACTCCCCACACCAGGTTGAGGGCCCAGACAGCAAAGGGGAGAACCACCGGCCTGCATCAAGGTCAGGCCCTGAAGAGCCGCCAGGAGCCAGAAGCCCAGGCCCCTATGCTCTGGGCACCAGCGTGGCCACCTCATACCCCCACGGGCTACCATGCAGGTCGGAGAACACTTCCAAAGTCCTTTATTGGGCCGGCAAGGCCGGGAGCTGCCCTCAGAGTGGGGTCCCAGTCTGGAGTCTTCAGGTCCGTGGCGTCCCTGTCCCTGTTCCAACTGGGGCAAGCAGCCTTGCTGTCTCACCACTTGGTCCGCTCCTTCACATATTCCCAGCCCTTCCTGGAGTACTCACGGGCCTTGGCAGGAGCCACCGACAGAGCTGACATCACCGTGATGATGCCTGCAGAAGGACACGGCTGCTGGTGAGGCTGCTCCCTACCCAGTGGGAGCCAGTCCCTTTGCCTAAGCCAACCCCTGGGAAACTCTAAGTCAGCCACATTTTTTTAGAGGCACAACTTCCAGCAGGGAAACTGAGGCAGAGGAGGGCCTTGTTCTGATATGGACCCAGGCCTCTCACAAACCATTCTGCTAGGCAATGCAGAAGCCCAGCCCTCAAAGGAGGCTCCGCCATGCCCCACTTCCCTGGAATCTCCGCCCCCTTCTCCTTTTTCAGATCCGCAGGAGACACACACATACAGCAGAAAAAGGGATTGATGGAAAGGAATGGAAGCAGGAAACAGGGAGGGGTGTCAGACTGGGGTGTCTGAGGCCATCCCCCAAAGCAGAAGGACCGGGGGCCTACCTGAATTCCAGGACTCCCGGATGGTAAAGTTCANCCAGCCCTTCCTGGAGTACTCACGGGCCTTGGCAGGAGCCACCGACAGAGCTGACATCACCATGATGATGCCTGCAGAAGGACACGGCTGCCAGTGAGGCTGCTCCCTACCCAGTGGGAGCCAGTCCCTTTGCCTCAGCCAACCCCTGGGAAACTCTAAGTCAGCCACATTTTTTTAGAGGCACAACTTCCAGCAGGGAAACTGAGGCAGAGGAGGGCCTTGCTCTGATATGGACCCAGGCCTCTCACAAACCATTCTGCTATGCAATGCAGAAGCCCAACCCTCAAAGGAGGTTCCGCCATGCCCCACTTCCCTGGAATCTCCGCCCCCTTCTCCTTTTTCAGATCAGTAGGAGACACACACATACAGCAGAAAAAGGGATTGATGGAAAGGAATGGAAGCAGGAAACAGGGAGGGGTGTCAGACTGGGGTGTCTGAGGCCATCCCCCAAAGCAGAAGGACCGGGGGCCTACCTGAATTCCAGGACTCCCGGATGGTAAAGTTCATCTTTGGAGGGGCTGGGAGCTGGGAAGAGGTGGGGGTCAGAAGGGGCTGGTGAAAAGGAAAGGGTGCAGCAGCCCCAGCCCTCCTCCAGGGGCAGATAGAGGAGCACAGACCTCAGAATGGGGCCAGCCCCAGTGCAGAGGACACCAAGCTGGGCGAGAGGGACTGAAGGCCACCCAAGAGCTGACCACCCACCAAGCTCCGGCCTCCCTCCCAGCCCGGGGTACCTGGGGTATCTGCAGGCCTGTCTGCTCACTAACGTACTGGCTGAACTGGTACATGGCCGAGGGGACCACCTCCTCGGCCTTCCGCAGGGCCGCTTGGCTCTTGTCACTGGGCCCCAGCAGCTCCTGGTCGTACACCAGATAGACGGCGCCCCCAGCCACACTGCCCTTGATGAGGAACCTGCCGGTAAGGAAGGAAGGGTCAGAAGCTCAGGGGACAGTGCTGGCAACCCTCAGGGTCTAGAGGAGTCAGACCCTCCTGGGGGCTCACAGGCCAGAGGGTGAGACGCGGTTGCAGGGCAGATGACAGAGGAAGCAAAGGGCACCGTGGGAACCCAGAGGTATGCCTGACCCCTATTATATACAGCACTCGACTTACAGTGTGCAAAGCAAGGCGACGTAAGGCCACTTTAACTGGTAAATCGAGGCCCGGGAGGTACGGTGGGCCACTCAAGGTCCCGCAGAGAACTTGGTCTCCATACGGGGCACAGCAGCGAAGACTTAAGACCCCTTTCTAGAAGCCTTCCAGTCCACGGAGAAACGCTCAGAGAGCAACCTGCGGGGATTTTCTAAGTGTCCCGGGGCGCTTCCTGCATGTCACTCTCTGCTCTGGGCAGCAGGATTGGTTCCCTGGGCATGGCCATTTCACGGAGGAGGCAGCTGAGGCTCGGAGGAGTCTCGGACACCGTGAGTAGAACGACAAGGAAGCCCCTTCCCCATAAGCCTCAGTTTCCCTATCTGGGCCATGGCGGAGGCTGACACTGCGAGAAGCGAAGAGCTGATCGGTAGCAAACCGGAGGGGGGAGTTGCCCGCAGGAGGGGACTTCCTCGGGGGTTCGGGGCCCACCCAGTCTCCCCACAAACCTCATAAGCGGCCACACCCGGGCCACCATGGTCGCTCGGCTCCGCGCGCAAGGACACTCGACTCGCCCGCCGCTTCCGGTCGCGGCGCCGCAGAGGTCTCTGGGAGATGCAGTCTTTCTTGTCAGCCGCAAATGCCTCTGGGAGTCGTAGTCTCGTTGTGGCTCAGACTCCAGAGAAGGGCTCAGGTCTCGCCGCCGGAGGCCTCTGGGAAACACAAGCTTCCGGGCCGGGTAGCCGCAAAGCTGTCTGGGAAATCTAGTCGGCACCACCGTGTGAAACGCCCGGCCGCTAAGCCTCCTGGGAAATGTAGTCCGGCCGACCCTGGTCCCGGTGGCTTGAGAAGAGGCGTCGGGTGTCTGGAGTGAAGCCTGAGGGGGGACCCGAGAAGATGCTGGACCCGTGAGATCCACCCGCGCCCGCGCGGGGGACTGCAGGCCTGGGACCTAGGAAGAGTGAGCCTGTAAGGCGGTTTCCAGGGCAGGGCCAGGGCAGGATTGTTCGAGAGTGGCGGGCCGCAGTCACGTGATTGAGCTTTAAGGGGGCGGGGCAGCAGGCGGGAAAGCCGTTGCCCGGCAACGCCAGGGCGCTTAGTCCCCACGGCCCCGCCCTTGCCCCTGAGGAGGTGGGCTTGGAGTCACGTGGCTCGGGCCCTACGGGAGGGGGCGCGGTCGGGGGCCCGACTCCACGCCGCCGGGAAGGGAAGCCGGAGTGGCGTTCGCGCGGCTGCGGGGCCGGGACCACGGCACTACTGGACGGTGGGGGAAACGGAGGCCCGAGTGGGTGAGAGCGCGATTGGGGGCGCGCAGAGGGTCACACTCCCCTTTGTCCTGAGGGGAAGCTTGAAGGCCCGGGGAGGTCATGGGGCCGGTACCTTCTGCAAGGATCTGGCTTCCCCGGCTCCTTCCGTATCCCAGCCCGTCTGCTCCCACCATTCATCCACCCATCCGTCCATCTACCCGTCCATCCGTCCATCCTTCCGTCCATCGATCCATCTATCCTGCTGGGCTGCCGTGGTCAGGGCGGGGTCGGGGGGTGGGAAGAGGGTCGAGCCCAGGAGCTTCACGGGCTGTCTCTGGACATGGGGGGTGGTCGTTTCTTGCTGAGACGGCGGCTGGCGTGCTGGGGGAGGTTGAGGAGTCCAGTCTTCTGCGAACTGAAAGAGTCACAGACGGTGGTGGTGGGAGACGAGGATGGACAGGTGGGCAGGGGCCAGGCCGGCTGCGCCTTGTGGGTGAGATGAGGAGCTTGGTCTCCACAGCAGAAAGGGGCGCAGCCAGATTTCTTCCGATAAAGATGCCTCTGGCTGTACGGAGAGGACGGGATGGGAAGGAAGGAGTGTGGAGGTGGGGAAGCCAGACTGCAGTGGGGGAAGGAGGCCGGGGGCAAGATGGGTGTGGGTCAGGCAAGAGGCAGGGTCTGGGAGGAAGGTGATTAGCTGTGAGCCCCGGGGACAGAGAGTGGGGGACAGTTGGAGAGAAGTTCCGGAGGGAGAACTGCTAAGACCTGGGACCATCAGGCTGTGGGGATGAATGCTCAGTGTCTACCATCCTGGTATGTGCGACAGTGGGGCTGTCCCTGCGATGTGACCCGGGAAGAGAAGCAGCTTTGGGGTCAGATCCTGAGCCTGGTTTGAGCCCCATTGCGTCTCTGGGGCCTGGAGGATGTCAAGGGAGACACCCAGAAGACAGCATGAGTGCGTAGAGGTGGGGGTGGGGTAGAGGACACAGGGCTGGGTCTAGAGATGGAAGTTGTGGAAGTCCCCCTCTCCTTGTCCCATTCAGTTCAGAGCATAGAAACCCCAAGATGTGGGCTGGCCAGTTAGCTCAGTTGATTAGAGCTCCACTTTGTAACACTAAGGTCAAGGGTTCGGATCCCCGTAACTGCCAGCCATCAAAAACAAACAAGACAAAAAGACAAAAAACCCAAGATGTGATGGGCCTGTGCCCTCTTCTGGGAAGACTCATGATCTCTGAGGCGTTAAGAACCCAGCCTGTTCCTCTCTTTCTCCTTCTTCCTGGAACATGTAAATCAGCTCCCACAACTGAAGTCACCTCTTCACCTCTTAACCCCAATGACATGGACACCTCTGTCTCCAACCCAGCCCCAAGTGTCCAGCTGCTTCTGGGTGTTTCCAGACATAGTGGTCTCTCTGGGCTCCCCCATCTCTCCTCCTATATTGCTTATATTACTCCGAGTCAGTCTATTATCTATTGAGCACCTACTGTGTGCCTGGCACAGTTTTCGGCACTGAAGACCCAATAGTAAGCAAAACAAGCAGATTTTTATTTCCTTCTGCCCCCAAGGAGCTGACAGTCTAGAGGGAGAGAGGGAGAGTGAACGTGTAAGAAATTATCAAGATACTTTAAGGTAGGGCCGAGCCCGTGGCGCACTCGGGAGAGTGCAGCGCTGGGAGGGCAGCAGCGCTCCCGCCGCGGGTTCGGATCCTATATAGGGCTGACCGGTGCGCTTACAACGCTCACTGGCTGAGCGCGGTGCGGCCAGTCTCAAAAAGGACAAAAAAAAAAAAATACTTTAAGGTAATGACAAGTGTTAAGTAGAAGAGGAAAGTTCTAGAAGTAAGGGAGAGAGAGGATGAGGAAGGGAGAAGCTTTAGAAAGGGAGACCTTCAGAGGAGGTAATTATTTTTTTGTAAGGTGGCCAGTATGGGGATCTGAACCCTTGACCTTAGTGTTATAACCTCACGCTCTAACCAACTAAGCTAACCAGCTAGCCTCGCCGGAGGTAATATTTGTGCTGAGACTTTATAGAAGTGAGAAATCAGCAAGCCATTGTTGGGTTATATTTGGGAAGAGCGTAGCAGGCAGAGGGAAGAGCCAGTACAAAGGCCCCGAGGCAGGATGGTGACTGCCTGGTTTTATGGAACAGTGAAGAGTGAGCCAGGGGGACTGGTCCACGCAGGACCTTTTTGGTCATCAAGGATTTTGGCTTTTATCCTAAATGAAACGGAGGATGTTCAGCGGGGGCAGGCAAGATGTGATTCGGCTGCTGGGTGGAGAGAGAAGGCTCTGAAAGGGGAGGAGGAGGGTGCATTGGTTCAGGTGAGTCACAGTGGTGCCCTGGAGCAGCTGGTGGCTGTGGAGGTGGAGAGGAGTGGGCGGATCCAGGGTTGGAGGAATCACCAAAGGCTCATCAAATGGGGGTGGCTGTGGGCCAGGCCTGTGCCCGCTGCCCTCTCTCCCGCAGCAGGCCACAGAGGGCCATGAAGGTGCTGCTCCTCACAGGGCTGGGGGCCCTGTTCTTCGCCTATTATTGGGATGACAACTTCGACCCAGGTGAGTGCCAGGGGGTGGGGGAGGAAGGAATCGGGCCAGGTGTCCTGTCCTCCCACAGGCTGACCAGCCCTGCTCACTGCCAGCAAGCCTGCAGGGAGCCCGTGTGCTGCTGACAGGGGCCAGTGCAGGTGTTGGCGAGGAGCTGGCATATCACTATGCACGCCTGGGCTCCCACCTGGTGCTCACTGCCCAAACGGAGGCCCTCCTGCAGAAGGTGAGCCCCCTATTTCCGGTTTAATGCTGGGGGCAGGAGTAGGGGAAAAAAGAGGGTCTGGGTTTGAATCTCTGCAATGATCCAGGCTTCCTGTGTAACCTTGGGCAAGTTGCCTAACCTCTCTGAGCCTGTTTCCTCATTTGCAAAACAGACAATAAAAGTACCTTCTCATGGGTTATGGTGTTGTTCTATGCATTGAATAGCAGGAACGTTATTACTCAGTAAATGGGGATAGTGTCCAAACCTGTGCCAATAGCTGGGTTCTCAGACTCGAAGGGGTGGGTGTGGGCACTTCTTAGCAACAACGCATTGTTGATTCAAGGGAATACACAGCTTTTGGGGACAAACCTTCCAAATTTTTAAGACAAGCCAGAACTCTGGAGATTTCATGTGAAATCTCCTCAATTTTAGTTGTTGCTGATTAAATACAACGTCTCCCATTCTGGCCTGCGGGCTGCCAGTTTGCGCCCCCACAGTGGTAAAGCTTTGGGAATGGAGTTGAATGGGATCAGAGGCTCAGAGTAGGGGAGAGGGCTTCCCGCTGGGGACTCAATGTGGCCGACAGGTGGAGGGAGGCCAGGTGGGGAGGAGAGGCCCACGGGCAGCTCTGGCCCCCCCAGGTGGTAGGGAACTGCCGGAAGCTGGGCGCCCCCAAGGTCTTCTACGTCGCCGCGGACATGGCCTCCCCTGAGGCGCCCGAGCACGTGGTGCAGTTTGCGCTGGACAAGCTGGGTGAGGGGCGGGGCCTGGAGTCTGGGACTGTAGCCTAGGAGTTAGGGGCAGGACCAGCATTGGGGTGGGTGACGGTAACGGGTGGCTGAGGGCGGAGACTTATGGGGTCCGGGGGCGTGTCCAGGGGTGAAACCTCATTGCATCAGGAGGCGGAACTCTTGACAGGGCCTCCTAAATGGGTACGAAACCTTGCAGGATCCGGGAAGTAAGGCTCAGTGTTGGGTCTCTTTGATCTTAGTGGGGCGCCACCTGGGGAGGATCCGCCTTCGGGGGCGGGGCTTGGGCCGGGCCTCAGGGCTTTGCCCTGGGGTGACCAGCCTTTCTGGGCCAGGTGGGCTGGACTACCTGGTGCTGAACCACATCGGCGGCGCCCCGGCAGGCGCGCGGGTCCGCAGCTCCCAGGCGACTCGCTGGCTCGTGCAGGTGCTCCGCCCCCTCTGCTGCCCCAGCCCCGCCCCC